AGAATAGTCACCATTGTTGGCGCAGGGAGCATCAGCCCTTTAAAACGCGCTCCTTGGGAAGAGGTCATGCTCCATACTGTAAGTATCAGTGCTAAAAATACTTTTAGCTAGCTACTAGGTAGCATATCCACACCTGTTTACTCTCATTCATGGACCTCACTGTGCGGTCAGGGTACCTTCAGATGTTACTGCATGTGTTTGTATAATGGAAATTAATGGTAGAATTTTTGGATAATTCGTTTTTTTATGAGAGATTGTTAATATTTTCCTGATAATTACATGACCCTTTTGCATCAATTATATGATAATACAAAATGGATGGGTTGTCATGCTTTCTCTGATATGGGAATTGCTGGAATTGTGTGGTTCTAAATGTTTTCGTTTAACGGTCAAGTCCGATCTTGGATTAGTTAGTTTGCATTGGACAAAGTCTGCATCCCACGATTAGTTAAGCAAATGTCATCAATGCTTGGGCTAGAGGATTCTGGAGGAAAATCCTACTGGCTGTAGCCCTCCGAAACTTGAATGGATGACCTTAAGGTAGCAAACCTTGGACCCGATCACTAGAGCTTATCCCTTGGGTTATTTTGTGGTTTTTATTTTTTTGTAGTAATGAAATACTGAAGAATGTTATCTCCAAAAACGCATGGTATTTTTTTTTTCTTCTTGTTGGTTTTATAGTGAAATACCATGTCTTGTATATTTTGCAAGGTCGCATTCTCTTTTGGTAACTCTTTCTTTTCGTTACTAGGCACAAAGATTGAAGTGGGTTGATGAAGGATATGATATGCTGGTGTTTACTGATGACTTGTATCAATCCAAGGATCAAACCGAGATTCTACTAAAGGCATTGAGCTGTGCAGATATATTGTTGATAGTGGCCGTTACTGATCAAGAATCAGTCAAGTGGATTGAAACCGAAAGCAAAAATGTTCCAAATATTGTATGCTTTGACTCATCTCCGAATCTAGTGAGCAAATTAGGAGGATCTTATGTTCAGAATGAGACCAGTGGGACCTTATTTGCAAAAACATTTGGAATTTCACTGTCGAAGAAAGCCAGTGATTCTATGGATGTAGTGCAGACTGTATCAGAAGCATGGAAGCGACATAATTCGGATGACATTAGGTTCTGCTTGTTGATAATAATCAATGCTTATATAAGACCTGTACCAATCCTAAAGAACCTGAGATCAAAAGGGTTTTCCACCTTGAACTGCATGGTCAAGAATTGTGGGCCTCAGATATTAAATTGTCTATTGGATCCTGACTGCAGGAAAGCTCTTCAATGCTTGAACAAATGCAGCCCGGTCGATCAGGTGTGTAATTACAGATGTATTGCTTCTTACGAAAGTCCAAACCTGGAAGCATTTTCTCTCTGTGTGCTGCAGAAGAACAATTGTCTTGAATTGGATGCGAAGATCCCTGAAAAACCTTTTGTGCCTCCTATGGCTAGGTTTCGAGGGGAGGACTTAAGTCATGAAACTGCAGAGGATCTTTTTGTGGGTTGGCTGGGGAGTCTGGACTGGAGTTGGCGGGTAATTGCAGGACAGAACCCAGCTTATGATCAATTTCCATGCCAGTACCAGTTGTTCTACAGAGGAAAGGTGAAAGGTTCATTTTGGTACGAGCCAGTTTTCCAAGTTAAAACTCTAGAGGGGAAGGTAGTTTGGAGGAGAAGGAAGTATCGTGTCAAAAGAGGCAAAATTCCTGGAACATTTTACTTCAGTGTATTGGACAATGGTGTTGTTTCCAATGAGTTTTGGACGATTGTGGACGTCTCTGATGATTTTAGCTGGGGTCTGTTTCATTACAATGGGGCTGCTCGAGTTGCAGGACAGGCATATACAGGAGCAGTGCTTGTTAGTCCAGATGGAGCCTACCCAGATGAAAAGGAGAGCAAGAGACTTGCTTCTGCCTTGGAAAAATGTGGAATAAAAGAATGGGAGCTATTTACAGTTGACAATTGTTCATGCCAAGATCCTCCGCTAGGACTTCCAGAGGGCTCAAGTTTGCATTCTGCAATTGATGTTAAAGACCAGAAATGGACCTCCACATAGTTATGCCTGGAAGTTTTGATTTCAACCTTTGATTCAACGGCAATTGGACTTCGATGGGTCATGAACTTATAAGTGCAGCACCATTAGGTAGATGAGGTAACTTATCTGCAGATTGGTGAGTATAGTGTAGTTGTGAAGATGGAATTTGCAATTGAAAGATCACATAAGAACTGGTGATAGCGTATAATATGGTGCAAAAATAAATAAAAGCAAGTCTAATTGCAATATTCTTTCATAAGCAATCAATGGTCATTATATATATATATATATATATTTCATAAAACATCTTATACACGCACGTAATCAGATTTTAATCAGAAATAACATCAAACTCTTGCATATTAGTTTAATATACAAAACTCAAAAATGTAAATTAAAAGTTTCAAAAGCAAATTTTAAATCTATCACTCAGAGAAATGCAGACCAGTGATAACAGTAAAATCAAATGCTAAATACAAATCTATCACCAAAAGAGATGCAGATAGTTGGTACTGGTAAAACTAACTTCATTACTAAAGAAATCTCTTTCTACTGTTTCAACCTGAGATTAGAGACCGAACAGTTGGTGCTGGTAAAAACTACATTGCTAAAGAAACCTCTTTCTACTGTTTTAGCCAGAGATGAGATATCGAATTCCACTCATGCTCCGAGTTGGAGTAATGATAAAAGATTAGAAGAATTATCTCATCATATATAGCCAATGAAAAGTATTAATAATAAATAAATGGATCAATAAGAAAAAAGTACAATACCAATGCTGTAAATTGGTTATTGTATTATTACATCAGGGTGAAAATGCCAACATCAATCCAGAAATGATGCTTATTTCATATGCCAATTTGAGTCTCTCTCCAGCACCTACAAGCTGCAATGGGAAATGGAAATCTCCTCGACAGGCATTTGTTTTAACCATCATTGCTAATCCATTGAATCACATGCCCCTTCATCTAGATCATGCACTTGGAAGTACATATTAAAAGCTTAAGAAACATTGCCATCAAAGTCTAGTTTTTTGCATGATGATCCATAATCCAATCTTCTGCAATCAGCCAAAGAGCAGGGCATAGCTGATTTCAACTATATCATGGTCAAGTTCTTATTTTCCTCATTAAGCACACACCATTGAGATGGCATGTACTGGACTCCATATGCTGTTATTAGCATCTTTTCAACACCTTTTCCAGATAAATCTATGGAAATTTTGGCTGTTCATCATAGCAAAAAGAGTCCCCAATATCTCTCGAAATATTCTGGTGCAATGCTATTCTATTTCTTTGATTAGGCCAAAGAGATACGTATCCAATCAACTTGGTCGGATAGGGATTCCCTTTTTTAAGAAGACCGTCATGGAACGTTTGAGCTCATTTGGGGTTGGCATTAATATTACCATCTGTAGGCCAGCCAACTTCTCCCATTATGATCTTCAAATTGTCAACAATGTTCTTCTTAAATGTCCAAACGAGAGTACCATAATTTGCATCGAAAGAGATTACTATATGAAACATTTTTATCAGAAATTGTTACGCCATTACCATCAAAGAAGGCATATTCAAACGGGAAGCCTTGGTTTAGATAAAGATTAAGGAATGGATATATAATTAACAACAAAGGGAGTTTTATTTTACGTTGTTACGGGAATTACCATCGGATGTTTTGTTGGAAGATGATTCATGAACATCATCATTAAGAGCTGCTGTAGCTTTGATTTTGTCTCTTTGTCCAAAGCCTTTTAAACGTCTTGCAATGCTGGAAACGTAAAATTAACATTGTCGTAAGTGCAATTAGAACTTGGCAAGAAAGGCTTGTTCTCTAAAGCCGAAGAGGGGTTATTGGAAGATGGTTCGTAAACATCAGTATGGAGGAGTATTAAGGGTTACATCTTGTCTCCGACTTCAACATTGTCTTTTGCCAAGATTGGCAATTAGCTGGCGTTTTTATTATTAAAATTCTTAAATAGTTTGTGTAAGAAGGTTATTGTAAATTATATTTTTTTCATTAAAATTCTTTTGTAAAAAAAAAAAATTATTTATTGGGTTAAATTAATAGTAAAAATATCCGTAAATAAGCTTTCATGTACCGAGATTAAATCTCACTTCAATCAAATCTTAAATATAAAGTTCACAAACCTGTGAGTGTATATGAGTGAATTGTCATCCTGCCTTTATGGATGGCGCCGATGAATACAACATGTTTTTGTGCCTCTAACCAAATATGCTAATGATATTTCATATTTGGGCTTTAGCGCAAGGATTCATTTTGAGTTTGTAGTTAATTTTAAATGTTTTTTTATAGAAAAATATTAAAAAAATAATTTTTATTTTCAATGTTAGAGTATTAAAATGATAAAAAATATATAAAAAATATTAATTTTAAATTTTTTTAAAAATATTTTTAAAACACAAAAACAAAAACTTTATTGTGACTTAATTACTATATTGCAATCAAACTAATTAATTTGATTTTATATCATTAAAAATAATACAATATTTACTTTATTAGAGATGACAACATATCAGTTTTTTTTTTAAATGCCTTTTTTCTAATAAAAAATCTTTTTCTTACCTATTTATCTTCTTTTTTTTTAAAAAAAATACAAAATATAAACAAACATAAAACAAGAGGATTGAGAGCTAATGTAGTAAAAATTATTTTTAAAAGTATTTTTTATTTAAAAATATATTAAAATAATATATTTTTTATTTTTTAAAATTTAGTTTCAGTATTATGACATGATTTAAAAACTCTAAAAATATTAATTTAAAGTTAAAAATAATTTTAAAAGCGTGGTCAAAACACAATGCAGACGGAGTCTATGACTGTGTGATTAATTATTATAAATATAGGGCTTAAATATATAATTTATGACCTAAGGACTGGTATTTTGTTTTTCTAAACTTTAGGGACGGAGTTATATCATATAAGTTTATATTTGCCACCCGTAACAAATGCTTCCCTCAATCTCTAGCTGTCTCATGGTTTTCAACCAGACAAGACCAGCGCCACTGCTCCTTCATAACTTCTTCCCTTCTCTTTAGTTTCTCCTCCTCTCTCTGTCACATGTATCGATAATCAATTGATTTCATAGTCTTTTGTTTGTGGAGAGTGAAGTGAGGTCCTAGTTTCTTTTTAGTAAACAAAAAAAATGGGTCCTTTGACTTTAGCTGTTGACACAAAAACCTCTTCAAAACCCCATTTAGGTACCTACTTTTCCCCCCCTTTTTCTATTACACTTATTTGTTGAATTGATTTGAAAGCTTTGTTCTTTTTGGTTTTGCAGATGCACCCATTTTGAAAATGCAAAAAACAAAGCCTTTTGCATCAATCAATGCACAAGAAGATAGCCCATTTGATTTCTTGCGTATTTTATTCGGTATGTTTCTTTAATTCTGCGCCATCATATCTTCTTCTTTTTCCTTTTTTTTTCATATAAAATATATGTGTGTGTGTATTCTTTAAATTTTTGGCAGAGGGAGTTATAGCAGGAGGTACAGCTGGTGTTGTTGTTGAAACTGCATTGTATCCTATTGATACCATAAAGACAAGACTTCAGGCAGGGCCTCTCTTTGTTTAATGTTTGTTTTGGATATTATTGTCCTTTGTCTTTCTTAATACAATGTTTTTTCTATCTCATTTCTAGTTTCTTAAATTCTTACCTTGCCTTATGGTTTGATAAATTCTCTTGGGCGCTTAATTTTGACAATTTGTTATGTATTTTTTCCATCTGCACTGAATAAGAACAAGAATGCTTTCGAATTTACTATTGATAGGCGGCTCGTGGTGGTGGAAAAATAATGTTGAAGGGTCTTTATTCTGGATTGGCTGGAAATCTAGCTGGTGTCTTACCGTAAGTACTTTTTGCAGATGAAAGTTCCCTAATTCATTGTTCCAATATACGCGCATACATGAGCATGCTAGCCATCTCCCACTGTGTTAAGTATTCTTGTACTGATCATGCACATTGGAGAATTAGTGCTCCAGCACTCTAGCAGGCTTTCAAGTTCAAAAGCTTGACATGTTCCTGGCTGATTTTGTGATTATTCATGATTCATTAAAAAAACTAATTCCACCAGTTCAGTAGGAAAGTTGATGAAATCTGAAATACCTGTGTGGTGGGGTGGGTGTGACTCTGTGCACATGCTGTCTCCCTCTATCCATGACTGCCCCTGGTAGTGTCGTTGTTTAGTATTTACAATTGAAAATTCGAAAAAGCTCGCATTCTAATTTTTGTTATGGTTAAAAACTGCTAATCAAAATGAATGAATAAGCTTATAGTCTCATGCTTCAATTTTCTGATGAACTCAAAAAGTTTTAGGGTGCAGGAAGTAGTAAACTCTTCCACGCTGAGTGTTCATTTTCCAAATGGAGTAGTATTTTTCTTCTTTACGGGCAGGTTAAGGAATTGAGTTTAGACACTACTCTTGTTAAATTTTGATAATTAAACTTTGAATTTCTCGCTACCAAATCTTAGCAATGGCAGACAAGAAGTGGAAAACATAATTATAAGAGGTTCTCAACTGTTATTGTCTTGTTAAGGATCAACAAAATAACTCTGGATGAAGTTACATGACCCGATCAATTAAAATTTAATATCTGGTTACTATGAAGTTCTTTTCTTCTCTGTATCCGTGCCTGCCTTTGGTTCCCAGTTAGTTGGTAATGTTTCTCTTTCTGCTTTTTATTTTCTTTTCTGTTCTTCAGAGCTTCTGCGTTATTTGTTGGAGTATATGAGCCTACCAAGCAGAAATTGTTGAAGACGTTTCCTGAAAATCTTAGTGCTGTAGCTCATCTGGTAAGATTCTGTTTTCAATTTTGAGTATTTTCTGTCATGGTATGAATATTGGCTTGGGTGCATGCTCAATGCAGAATGTCAAATAGGCCTTCCGATTTGTAGGTCTGTTTACACAGCTCAGTCACACTGCAAAGCTTGCATCTGTCATCGAAGTGTTAATTAATTAATTTGGTGGAAGCTCTAGATACAATATGGTGCACTGTTCCTTCGTTCTCTCCTCATTTCCTCACAGGATTAGAATTGCATGATGTCTTATATTCTTTATTATTCCATCATGGAATATAATTTACATCATCTATCACACCAGCCACCCAGATAGTGTCAACTGTTAGGATCATTATCTACCAGTGCACCGCAACTTTCCTAAATTTTTAATTTTTAAGCTAAGGTTGTCTACAGGGAAGTTTTTTTTTTTTCCCTTTTTATGAATACTCTTTTCTTGCAGTAGCTATAAGATTGTTGACTTTTATGTAGACTGCGGGTGCTGTGGGAGGGATTGCTGCTTCTCTCATTCGTGTTCCAACAGAGGTATATATTGTTAACTTGTGCATCCATATGAATATATATATATATAGGCCATTATCACTCAAATTAAATAATCCTCAGGTCATTAAGCAAAGGATGCAGACTGGCCAATTCACCTCAGCCCCCGACGCTGTCCGTCTTATTGTCTCTAAGGAAGGTTTTAAGGGTTTTTATGCGGTATGTTATGTCTCCCTATAAAAACCCTGAGATACTTGTGTTTGTTTGCTAGATTAGATCTCTTGATTTCTCTGAATTAGCAAATTTAAAGTTTTCATTTGCTTTGTTTATGATAAATTTAGGAAGGTTCTTTTTCAGACTAAAGATTTCTGGCTGTTTATTATGCCTTTACCATCATACTTCATAAATACTTATGCATTTCTGACTTCCAACTTCTTTTTGAGAGTGCAGGGATATGGATCATTTTTACTGCGTGATTTGCCATTTGATGCAATTCAATTCTGCATCTACGAGCAGCTACGGATTGGTTATAGAGTGGCCGTATGCTTTCACTAAGCATTAGTTTTTTGTGCAATCCTTCAATTACTTTGTGCTATTTTACTCAGATGCTTCTTTGTTTTTAATACATGATGAAATCCGTACTATTTGTGTGCTCTGTTCCTGGATATTGTTGCCCGTCACCAATTCATATCTATGTAACATAGATAATTGGAGAAGTGAGAGAGTGGTATGTATTTGTTTTAACCCAATTAAACAATGATTTTTTGACATGATATCAGAGTCTTGATGATCAAATTGAATCTCACCACCCTCATTCTCTCCTCTAATTAAAATTAATTAATAGCACAAGATAGTACAAGTCCATGCAAAGCTTAAGCTATAGGGTTGAATTGATTCTTTGACAAGATTTTTGAGAGTTTAAGAGTGATTTGACTTAACATAATGCGTTAAAATAAATTAGATTCTTGCATTGATTTGTGTGACTTTGTCCTATGCCTTGTTTCCTTGAAACATTGACTGTCGGTGGGTGGTAAACTAGTTTCTTTTCTTGAGAGATGAAGATTGAAAAGATGATATGTTTGGAATAATCAATTACTAATAAATATTATAAATTTAAACTATACTATAGTTTCTGCTACCTATAAGAAATAACCATGTGAATATTAAATTAAATGTGCACAACATGTGGCCATAGAAGTAGTGTACATGAATATGTATACACCCAAGTATTTAAATTTATATGTACACTTTCTTCTCTTGGCAGGCACAAAGAGATTTGAATGATCCTGAGAATGCTGCGATTGGTGCTTTTGCTGGTAATATTGAAGTCCAGATATGTGAATTGCCTTCATTTCCTCCATATGATACTCATCTTCTCATTGAATTTGGGTATCTTATCAAAGGCTTGGTTGAGGAAATTTATACCGACTACATAAAATTTAATGATTAGATAAAAAATACGAGAGTTTAAGAAGGAAAAGGGGCAAAACAATGTACTAGTTGTACATGTGTAATGTGATAGCTGTATATGTCATAGAGCTCCTGACTGGCATGAGTTGGAGTGGAAAACTGCTTGTGAACAGTTGAGATGGAATAAATGTATTTGTTCCCAATTTCTTTTATATCCTCAAGAACAGTTTGTCAATATGAATCCCATTTCATGCTCCCCATACCCTTCTCTATTTCTTTGCTATGTTCTCTATTAAACTTTTTAAACTGCACTCTGTAGCAAAACAATGAATAAATTTTAATTTAATAACTCCGTATTTTGAATAATAATGTTTTGCAGGTGCACTAACTGGAGCCATAACCACCCCCCTCGATGTGATCAAGACAAGGTTAATGGTTCAGGTATGCCTAAAACTCATGCATGTTGTCCTTCACATCATTGAGCCATTTTATGAGCTGCCTTTTGGTGTTATTATTCTTTGTAGGGATCAGCTAACCAGTACAAAGGCATCGTTGACTGTGTCTCAACCGTTGTTAGGGAAGAAGGACCTACTGCTCTTCTAAAGGTGCGAATCTTCAATGTTTCTTTTGCCCATGCAAACTGAGTTTGAACGTGATGTGCACTCAAAAAAGAAGAGAGAAGAAATAGTGGCTCTATTAAATTAGAAGGGATATGTAGTGACTGCTGTGAGAATGAATTTTTACCATTTCAGGTTAAAAATCTTGACATCTTGAGAGGAGAATAATTTTTCTTGCTTTGCACTGTATGTCAGGGTATAGGGCCGAGAGTGCTGTGGATAGGCATCGGTGGCTCCATCTTCTTCGGTGTCCTGGAACGCACAAAGCGGTTACTTGCTCAGAGGCGTGCTGTATCTGATCAACAGCCAAACCCAAAGCAGGATTGAAGTTAACCAGAGTGGCTTGGAACCCGTGGCAGCTTTGTCATGTTGACTTTCGGGTTCAATGACAATCCATGCACCTGGAAATAGCGTGGGAGTATTGCCCTTGACACGAGCTTCATCAAAATCACTGAAAGGAGATTTAATCAGGGATTATCAACCCCTGGGCAAGCTTGACCATCAGTATTACAAAGGAAAGTTATTTATCCGCATTCTTGAAAAAAATAAATAAATCAAAAACAAAAGAAAGCTGTTCATCTTCATCCTATTTGCATACCAGAACTCGGGATATGCAAGTGAGGTTTAAAATGTAGTTATTTATCCTCGTGTCTTTTAGGAGGGGATGCTCTTCGTGGAAAGCAAAGCACTTGATCAAAAATCGTGTTTTGAAAGTAATTTTAAAAAAATTTAAAAAAATTTAAAAAATAAAAGTAATTTTTTTAAAAAATTTTAAAAATTTTATTATATTTTTTTAATGTTTTTAGATGATATTAAAAATAACTTTTTAGAAATAAAAAAAATTGTTATTTTAATATATTTCTTAATAAAAAACATTTTGAAAAACCGTGATAATTATATCCCCAACGGCTATAAAAGTCTTATTTTTTCTCTGGTGCCATTTTTGGGGATTGGTGGAGCAGATTTGTGATTTATGGTGGAGAATTTCCTAGAAGAATTGCTTTCACTGATATTTGGCGGAATTTGATGGTGCTGCCTTTCTTTTCATCTTGTCCAACGGACCTTAGATAACACGGCTATTCTCCATCTATAAATTCGACCCAAACTTGTCAGGGTCTGAGCCTGATATAGCGGAAATCTTGACTACAGGGCCGTCTCTTGGGGACTCTCGCCTTTTCCTTCACCATCATGGCTAATTCTCCAACATGGTTTTGTGTAAATGTTCACCTGTAGGAGCACGAGAGATTGTCAAAAAAACAAAAAAACAATGCAATTTTATATTGAACCAGGTATACTGAAATTGTACATTTGTTACAAAAATGACTTGGCCTCGCTCATGGCATCAAAAGGGAAATAAAAACTAAACATGTCCCCAATAGCACACCACCAAACCGCAAAAAGAACCAAACCAATTTACACTGCTTCAGTTGTATAAACTAATTGAGCTGATCTACGTATATTCTTTACTTCTTCAAGCCACCATTCTGAATCACCTAGCCTGTTCAATCTAAGTTGGAAAAGTAAAGTACCCTTTCAAACTCTTTCGCTAAGCTAATTTACAACTGTGTCAATTTCACGTCCTTCACAAGATATTACAAGGATATAGCATCCTGCTGCTATCACCAATATTTCCCACCACCGGCCATCATAATCAAGTTCAGTGTTGCTTCCATTTTCACATCAAGGGGAGGTAGGCACCGCCATGCCCTTTCCTGAGGACTAGTGGTGCAGCATTGTCAGGAACCTTATCCAATGCATTCATACATGTATCAATGATGTCAGTGAAACCAGTTGCAATGGTGGCCAACTGCAACCTTAACCTCAAATCCCGTGTCCTCTTTAACAAGCATCTGAACGATCTCCCCAGATATTTAGCCCATTCTGCAGGTAAGCCACCTCCAGTCAGCCAAACTGAGAATTGGGATTGGTCACCTCTGGCTGCTACCTCAGCTCTGTAGAATCTAGCCAATTCAACAAGCATTGAAGGCTGAAGTGGAAGCACAGCCACAAATTCAGCAACAAACTCTTCAGTTAGTTCTGGTTTTAACATCTGATTCCAAAGTACCAGTGCCCACTCACTTGGCTGGTTAAGACCATAGGCTTCAGCAACAATTAAGGCCTCCTGGAAATAGGATTGCTCAACCAACAATCTCCTGGCATTGGTTTCAGACAAGTTCAGCCACTTGCAATCTGGCATTCGAATTTGCAGGGAAACAAGGGATGCGTGAGCACAAGCTCCGCGAGTTTTATTGCCAGCATCAATGGAAGAGTGAACTTCAGCCGCTTCAATGAAATATCGCATGGACTCAAGGAGATCTTCATTTTGGTCCTTGTCATAACGGTGAAACCACTGCTCAGAAGACTGCCATGCTCGTGACTCTAAAAGAGCAGCAGTTTCATGCTTCATGTCAAAGTGGTTATAGACCTGAACAAGAGACGAGCGATGTTTATCCAAATGAAGAAACAGATAAATCACCAGATTTTACAGTTTAAAATGGATCTTATTGAAATCTCACTCAAAGCACCAAGCCATGCCACTTAGCATGCAAAAGATAATAAGTCAAACAACGTGTCTATCCTGCCAAAGCACGTTGCCACTCAAACCTGCATGCTCGCAGTGGCAACCTGAGACACATTCACTTGCACTCAGAAAATGGTCCTTGTCAAAAAAATAAAAAATGTGGATTCTGTGTCCCCATTGTAGTGCATGAAAAAAATGAGCTGAGACCAAATAAGCCAAGAAAAGCTGAAAGAAACAGATTTGCATAATAGGGTGACATTGCAAGCCGTGTATTTTTATATGATATATCTTCATATTGCATCCAAGAGAGTTCATTTCCTAAATGTAGGAGTCCTACACTAGATTTTAAAAGGAACAAGTTATCATGAACACACATGAACAACAGACTAATATGAAACCTATCCCCAAGGAATCTAATAATACAGCATATGCATCCCACAATCATATACTCCACTAAATAAGGGCTAAATGCCTTAATCAGAAAAAAAATTAGTCAGCCATAACAATTCTCTTCTCACAATTACTCTGTTTAAAATCATATACTCTATAAGATGCTTATAAACTGAATTCTTTTTTACTACAACCTAACCCATTTTAGGCTGACCTTGTATGGTTTCCATCCTTTCCACTTGAATTACAATATTTTCTTTTAAGTATCTTACCAACTAGTATAATACTTTTTCACAACCCATATTTAATGTTCACTTCACAAAATAGAGAAATGAAGACCATACGGACCATAGCAAATGCATCATGATCTTCAGGGTTGAAATGCTTCAGTGATGTAAGAACAGCCATTCGAAATCCTCTGACAGCCTCAGCAGTTTCCACATTTGTCTCTGCAGCAGCTGAATATTTCTGAAGAAGAAGATCCAGCTGACCGTTTTCTATGAGAATGCCAAGAATGAAATTAAGAGCATGGAAATTTCCTACTCCAGTTATCAGGCGAGCCAAACATGGAAAATCACCCTCAGACACATAAGCTTCCACCCTGGTTGCAGCAAGGGCTACAAGAACATCAACTCCATCAAGGCATGCTGATGATTTGTAGAAGTGGTGTGACAGGATAAGAAGCTCAACCTAAAACAATAAATTCCCAGTAAAACAAAAGTTTATGATTATCAATAACAGGATTGAACAAAATCCAGATTCGCCTTTTTTATCATCCATTTTCTTCTTCAGCAGGAAGTGCTATCAAGTTGTCCCTTCTAATAGACTGAATGACCGTTAACAAAGTCATAACGGTTGTTGAAAATGATTGCCATTTGGGCACATAGAAATACTATCAGTGCTCATAACAGTTGTTGAAAATGATTGTCATTTAGGCACATAGAAATACTATCAATGCTCACTTATAATGACAATACCTCACAGGCATGTGGTATTTCCTGTCCAGTAATCACCAAACGCATCAACGAGTGACCAATTTCAGGTTCAGAAGGGCAAAGCTCCGCCCACTTTAAGAAGTCAGAAAATCTCCATAATAGAGGAGCAGGTCCTTCCTCCTTCTGAGAATCCATATATCCCCCACGATGCGCAGCCAGTAGACCCTGTAATATGTCAGCAATGCAAATAATTTACATCATCGATAACAAGTACTAGATTGCATAGGACTTGGTTCACTTCATGAAAAAATGGGCAAGGAATATGATATGCAGTCTCCAGGTACGTTGCCATTTACACACGAAAAAAAAGAAAAGTTCCAAAACTATTTATTATACCAAGTTCATCAAACAGTCTACAAAACCAACTTGGATCAAACCAGAAACATCATATTTAGTCTACTGATCAAGAAACATCGCACCCTATTTCAAAAGATGGAATCCTATGACATGAATTTAAGAATAAAATATGCCAAAGAAAAAAGATACACAAGGGAAAAGAGACACCAGACCTTGAGAAAGGATTCTGCAAGAATTCGAGCAATACTAGCAGCTGGCATGGAATGAGTTTGCACTATGAGAGATGCTTCTTCAAATGATTCTTGTGCTTTAAGAGCAAGCAGCCGAAGCAATTCGATTGGCTGCTTATCAAATGCCTCCAAGAAAGAAAGACCCAAGACATTTGCAGCTTTTACAACTGCTATAATTCTCTTACACAGTCCACGTCCACTTCCTTCAGTAAAAATTGTTGCTAAGCTCTCCAAGACCTTCATTGGCATAGTCAAAAATTCCAATCCATGCGTCCATTATGCAACAAGACATCACATAAGGACATGGTTAGCAACGACAATGGACTGCAAAAATAGGACTTAGAAAGGGAAAAATCAAAGCAAATTAAATTTTCATATTAATAAACAAGCATATTTGTATAGAATAAGATGCCAAATTTGAGAAAAGAAGAAACATCGGATATTTGGAAAGTAACCTGCAGTGGATCAAGCAGATGCTTCTCAGTTAATATATTATATGACTTGACAACAGAACGTGTTTCCTCATCAAGCATTGATGTGGATATTTTGCTACCAGGGGTTGTTATTGCTCCAAGCTTTAGAGCAACATCAACAAGTTTAAATTCAGGAGGGGTGTGTGCTGGAGACAGCTTATGTTGAAGTTGCTTGGAAGCTGTTATTTGTCCAAACTCCAGTAAAGAAAGAACAGCTCTTTCCAGCTCTGCAGGTCCAACCCTTTCCTCCCACTTCGAGAAAGACATTTCTATCTTTAAGTTTTCATCTAGCAATGGCAAGTCAATTCTAGAAATGAAGTTAGTGGAACAATCTTCAGGCTCAGTACTTTTATCTATGGGGTCCATTAATGGTCGTCGTGACAGCACATTGCCTTTGGCCCTCCGTTTAGTCTTTGTACTACCCCCAGCTGTCTGAGTGATGGAATCCAATACTTGGTTTTTGTGCTGTGCCAAGTTATTTTCCCTTGCATCTTGTTTTTCTACAGTTCTGCTTCTCATTGTATTGATATGATTGTCCATCTTTGTTATTAAACTTGCTGTCTTGTCAATGATATTGGAAGCATTTCCAATAGCAGGATCACCACTGGAAGTTGTTGTAGTAAAGTCTCTATCACTCTTTGCCTGAGCTTCTGATTCTACTGCCAAGAGCCATACTCTAGTCTCAATTTCTCGCAGAAGGTGCAATGGATAAACTCTGATAAAATCACCACATATGTCAGAAACAATCTTCCTAAAAATAGGAGAAATGGAAATTTAATTTGTGATTCAACACT